ATGATGTAAATCGACTGGGTTATAATATAGATACTATAAAGAAAATCACACAAACTTAAATTGACGCTAGTAAAGAGGTTGGTCTAGAAGTAAACACCGAGAAAACTAAGTATATGTTGCTGTCTCGTCACTAAAATACAGGACAAAATTATGACATAAACATAGGAGACAGATGTTTTGAAAATTTGGCGCAGTTCAGATATTTGGGAACGACAGTAACAAATCAAAACGTGATTCAGGAGTAAATTAAGAGGAAATTGAACTCAGGTAATGCTTGCTACCATTCAGTCCAGAACCTTTTGTCTTCTCGTCTTCTGTCAAAAAACATAAAAATTAGAATATACAAAACTATAATTTTACCTGTGGTTCTGTATGGGTGTGAAACTTGGTTTCTGACATTAAGGGAGGAACATAAACTGAGGGTGTTTGAGAACAGAGTGTTGAGAAGAATGTTCGGACAGAAGAGGGACGAAGTGACAGGCGGTTGGAGAAGACTGCATAATGAGGAGCTTCATAACTTGTACTGTTCTCCAAGTATAATTGGAATGATCAAGTCAAGGAGGATGAAGTGGGCAGGGCATGTAGCACGAATGGGGAGAAGAGGAATGCATATAGGATATTGGTGGGAAAGCCAGAAGGAAGGAGACCACTGGGAAGACCAAGGTGTAGGTGGGTGGACAATATTAAAATGTATCTTACAGAGATATAATGGGATGGTATGGATTGAGTTGATCTGGCTCAGGATAGGGACCAGTGGAGGGCTCTTGTGAATATGGTAATGAACCTTATGGTTCAATAAAATGCTGGTAAATAGTTGAGTAGCTGCAGATTTGGCTTCTCCTCAAGAAGGGCTCAGCCCCATAGGTAAGTAAGTAAGTAAGGCCCGGCCATAGCTCAAGCGGTTAGTCGTTGGCTTCCCACCCNTACAATAGGCCAGAAGTGGCCGCAGTACAAGGGGCTTAGTCCCACCCCACTAGCAATAAAGAAAAAAGTAATAGGTCACGGAAAACCCGACAATAAATTAGAATCATTCTGCATATAGTGCATCTTCTATTTGTTACCAACCGATTTTTAATTTACGCAGTGTAGTATCTCATTTGTAGATTGCATATTACAGTATGATAATTGTATCTATAACAAACGAAGGTTCAGATCGGTGAGGAATGCGCATTAGCGAAGTATGCAGTTGTAAATTCTTGCAAGTTTCAGTCTGGAGCATACATTTCCGCCACGGATCATGGTGCGCATGCCAAGTAATGTTCTCACGGTGGTTACTATAAGAAATAGCTACCATGTAATTTGGTAGAATATTACCGGCGTTTCAGAAGCAAATTCTGCCTCCATCTTCAGTATAGACGTGTAAGCTGAATGTGGAAGAGAGTGGCACGAGTATAAAGAGATGGAGGGAGGCCTCCGTAGTCTAGGGGTAACGTTCCCACCTCATGAGTCAAGGTACGCGGGTTCAAACCCGGCGGAGGTCGTGGAATTTTTAAGGGCGGAAAAATTCAGGGAACAAGTCCTCCAGGAGGGACTTTAAGCCGTGGGTCCCGTGTCGTAGCTTTACGGCACGTAAAAGATCCTCATGTCTCTAGGAGACTTCTGAGCAAAATTAGGCAATGCCTGTGGTAGATGGGGAAGTATCGGGTACCTCTGCCAGAAGAGGGCCGACCTCGCTGGCAGAATGGGGCTAAGTATCAGGTACCACTGCCAGAAGAGGGCCGACCTCGTTGGCAGAATGGGGCTGATAGCGAGCAACAGTACTGGAAGGGTATGGCGACAGTATAAATTAGGGGGACGCACAGTGGACCAATAACTGGTCTAAGTGCATGGGGAGACCCACCCCCTCTAATAATGAATGAAATGAATGAATGAGATGGAGGACAGAGGCTCGAAGCGCACAAATGGGGATTTTCTTCCAAGCTCGGCGTAATCCTCTGGTCAACAAAACCTGAGCAGCACTTGGTGTAAACTGTGAAACTATATGTTGTTAGGTCCAAGAAAACCATATTCTACTTAATATTGTCACATGTAGGAGGGCACGCGTGGCTGGATTTTTTAGCACTTCGGTTACTCTCTTTCTCTCTCTCAATTATATTTATTACAGCGCTACCGCTGATTTACACACTTGCAGTTCACCGTTGCACACGCAACGCAGTCTTCACTAGTCGTCTCTTGGCAACGAATTTCAACACAGAAACTAGCGCTTCAAATCACTATGAAGTCTAGTTGTTATTTCGTGTTCAGTCACTCTCTACTCCGCTGTCCTAATCTCTATTCAATTAATCTTCACAATTCACTGAGGACACGCTCCATTCTCGTCCTTTTACTCTCAACTATTGAACCCTCCAGGGCTCTTTTCCGTGACTGCTTCGTGTTCTTTAATCACGGCTCCTCAGCTATGACTGGCTATAAACGACCTTTACTCTCCCCTATAAACCTTCGGCACGGACTCCATAGGAACACATATTATTGTAGACGTGTTTACAGTTTTGTTGCTTATCACTGGGCAAGGCGCGGACCACATTGAAAACAAGTCACGTGATAGCTATCTCGTCAGTCCATTAGATCGCTGACTGTTGCCTGACAACAGGCTATAAACATTTACACCATTGTTGCGTAACTTAGCAACAGACTGTTTAGTAAGAATCTCTCTTCACGGGGACTTATTTACCATCCTGTTGCCTAGCAATGAGTGTACATGTAACATTTTCTTATTTCTAGGTGAAAGTTGTTGTCAACCCTGTGGCAGGACATGGCTCTGCCGATATAACAGTGAGCGGTAACGTAGTGCCGACCTCGCAGAAGTTCTCACCCAGTTCCCATCGCACAGCTCTGCAAGGTAGGTCAAGGAATCCAGATTCATAACTCAAAAAATTTAAGAGGTCCATATAAATTACTTATAATAACAATAATGCCCGCTCTCGTCCGGTTTTTCTTCCCCAGTCTCTGCTTTCGCATAGCATTTCAATTGCAATCAGACACTGCAGCTGATCCGCATACCATACTTTACAATTCTTCCAGTCCACACACTAAATTCAGATACATTTCTTCGTTTTCTGTCATTTACTCTGCAACCACGGAACATGCGCTCTGCCTAGAGCGTAATGTTCACATATCTTACGCAAGAATATATTACATACTAATAATATATTTTGCTACGTTTGTCATCTCCCCACTTGGAGGAGCTAAAAACAACTAAACCTATGAAGATCCATATAGTAATCTTACTATTATTCTGTAAATCGCATCGGATGTCCCATCACCGTACAAGCAAGTAGAGAGTCTTGAGACTGTACATGGTTTTGCAGGGATTCCTTTGAATAATCTGAATACAACATGGCCTAAAAACAACAAATAAACTCCGTGGCTTGTAGTCCGCAAGTGAATTATACCGACAGAGCGACCGCCGCTTGTCGGCGAAGTTAGTGCCAACTTAGCGGATAGAGGGTGTTGCATGGTCAGATGAACGGATCGCCACGGCCGTTAATCTCGATTTTATAGACCAGAGCCGCTTTTTCCTTCAAAAGGCTCCTCAATTATCCTCATGAGGCTAAGTGGACCCCGTTCCAAACCCACAACTTCTCATAAAATCTGGTAACGCCAGGAATCGAACCCGGATCTCTGAATTTGTAGCCAGGAACTTTGACCACTAGACCACAGAGGCGGTCTCGCATGACCTAAATATTATTCAAAAATCCAATGATTGATGTTCATTATACATTTCGAAACATCCATGTAAAAGTCATTAATCATTAAATCAGACCACAGTTATTCTTTTTGGTCATAGAAGCGACCATGGGAAAAGTTATTTCTGTAAGGAAAGAAGTGCCATGCTCTAATGCTATTCGTGAGTCTGTCCATCCGTAAATATGATTTATGCCTCAGTCCGTATGCCCTTACAGAACAAACGGCCTACTTTTTATGAATCGTCCCTACCAATGCCATCGTCCTGTAGCGTCTGGAGGAGGACTGAATGAATAAGCCGTTAAAGTAATACAAACCGGCTTATTTTAAGAGACGTGTGACAACGTCACTTGCACTCAATTGATAGCATGAGAAGTGGCGCCAGCTGCCTTCCGATCACTTGTGAGTCATATTCAGAGGGCCACCAGATTGACAGTGATATATAGTGTTTAAACAGAACTGAACTGACCATATTGTCATTACGACCCCGTGCAGTGCTAATCACACTTTATTATCAAGTTACTCTATGGCGTCATTAAGGATTATCTATTTCATTCAATGCCGAGGTGGAAAAGTCGCAATGTTATTCCACACAGCTACCCCGCCTTAGGCTTTAAACCCTTTAAGCAACAGTGGTTATAGCAAGTACCACTTGCTTCAATGCCAAAAGGTCTCCATTATTCCCACAGGCTGTATTTATGTATTTCATACGATTCGAAAAATAAGTAGTGATTCCATAAACCGCTTTAATCGGTTGATACGCGTATCGAAAATGGTGATGCATGTTCTTCTTGTGGGGTATGAAATGGATTTTTATATATTGTCAGGCGCTTATGACTATATACGGGATCTGGATTCATCAATGGATTTGTTTAACGTTTTTAACAGGTAAATATAATGGTTTAACTTATCCACACACTCTAAAATTCACCGTAACTGCAGCACACACAAATTCTTCTGTGTCTTCATGAGTCGCTGCTTTTGGAGGTTCTGCTTCAGTGCACACATTCTCACTGGATGGCAGCTGGTTGCAAGTAACTCATAACGGCAACTCACACACATTCTTGACTCCCAAAAAAATTAATTTAATTCTTCTTATATAACCTCGGCACGGACTGTAAAGAAAACACAACTACCAAAAATTTCTCTATTGTGCAGCGGTTTTTCAATATTTTGGAAACGTGTATACCTTTCCGTTGCCTAGCAGTTGATGTCTTTTGTGACTCTGCTATTCCGGCTTTCATCTGCCATGTCAAAATATTATGTAGATAAATATTATGCATCAAAAAAAAGTGACAGGCCTATTATTTGGAAATTTAAAAGGCTTCTTCTGATAAAGTAAGGCAGGAGGGTTTTATACAGAATAACTTCTCCCTTTAAGTTGCAGAAAACGTAACATACATTTTAGCTTCCTGTGTATAAATTGTACATTTTACATATATATATATCATCATCAGTAATCTGTCAAGACGACAGGTCCACAGTCTCTTTCAAAACAATTCCTCCACTTAATGCGATCTAGAGCTTTCTCCTTCAAATGACAGTATCCTCTTCTGTCCCCAAGGTCATCCAGCATCTTCTTACGTCTTCTTCCTCGTCTTCTTGTCACTTCTATCCGCCCATCTATCTTTCCTTCGATAGCTTCTTTTAGAAGGCAGTTTCTGCGTAAAACATGACCAATCCAATTAGCCTTCCGTTTTCTTATTTCATGTAGGATATTCCTCTGCTCACTGACTCTAATTAACACTTCTTCATTTCTCACATAATCGGTCCAACTGATCTTCTCCATTCTTCTCCAACACCACATTTCGAAACTTTCCAGATGTTTCTGATCTACTGCCCTAAGTGTCCATGTTTCAGCCCCATACAGAGCTATGCTCCAAATGTAGCATTTCACTAGTTTCTTCCTCAAATTTAAGTCCAATTTGCTGGTAAAAAGATTATTCTTCTTGCTAAATGCAGCTTTTGCCATGGCAATATATATATATATATCGATGCTGTAAATTACACCATACATCATATGTTAGACAAATCATCTGTTACGGTTGCAAAATCTTAGCCTATACACACAAATCTAAATCCAAAAATTTGATATCATACAAAACGGATGCTTGAAGATGAGTGGAATGTACTCGTATTGTGGTAAAACAAATATTAACTTTTTAGATGCGGGTCTTTTTATTTCTTAAATTGGAAGAATATTTTTCAACTTCTGGCCACAGATACGCGCTAAAAATGAATATCCACTCCAATGAGATAATAAAATGCAGCTCTCTGGAAAACCTGCTGGCTAGAACTTTGTTAACGTTCATAACAAAAATGGGATATATTTTTCAACGAAATGAGATTAGATACAGGATACCTAAAAAGAGAAGAAGGAGCTTGAAAATGTAAAAAGTACATGAACATGGCAAAGGAGGAAAAATAAAATAAATAAATAAATAATCCAAATAGAAAGAAGACATATTTTGTCTATTTATGCTTATTAATATACGTAATACACGTATGTTGTGACGAAAGAAAATATCAAAATGACATAAAAACTAAAAAATTATTTGCATCTTCTGACAGAAAAATAAACAAGGACCCGTATTCATGTATCATCGCAGGTGCACTGAGAATTGCAGTTGAGTGCAGACAACTCCCGCTTTCTTTCTTTTACTCATCAACGGACCAAAATATTTTTTCTTCCTGTCGATCGTAGTTTATCTTTTTAGAGAAAATTCACTGGACTCTGTTTGACTGTGAACAGAATGTAAATAAAATCAAATTTTCCACAATAACTCTTCCTTCCACTGAATACGAAAGGTAATCTAGGAAAAGACTGAGACAATATTTGTGTACAACTTCTCTGCTATATACAGAGCAGAGCCACACTAGGCACTGACCTTGATATAGTTGTGTTGTGACGGTTTTAATAAAGAACTTTTATATTATAACACAACAGGATGCATGAAATGAAAATAAAGAAAAAAATATTTGTGTAAATGTTTCTCACCTCAGATTTTTATTTAAAAATTATACTACATATCGTACATTACTCAAATTATGTGGATCTGTACATCCACTCCCCAATACGCCTTCATGGCGTAGTTAGTTAAGCACAGGGATGACATTACCTGATTACTCAATTTACATTTCTGGTAGGTTTAAACTGCTGAATGCATAATTATATATCTGCTTATCATCATATGGATACTGGCAGGACACAGATTAGCTTAACGTAAACTTCCCAGACATAATTTTAATGTGGCGGCATATAGAATTCATGGGCCCTGATATAGTAGACCTATTGCACTAGTTCTCATGCTGAAGTACAGTGTGATGAAGGAATGACTGCACTAACATTGCTATGAAACCCAGAAGATAATCACTGGGATAACAATAGCTGGTGTTAGCTACAGTATTATATTCGGTGTATACTCCGGATATTAACTGACCCATCCACCATTCATCCCCCATTCTGTATCCAGCCAGTAAGCCAGTCCTCTCTCCGTTCATCTTTCTCTACCGACGCTACCGGCATATCCCTGCATCTACATGAGCAGGTATAGCAACTGGCTACAGGCTGAACAACCGAGGGATCGGAGTTCGAGTCTCGGCGGGGTCAAGAATTTTCCCTGCTCCATGTCGTCCAGACCGTCTCTGGGGTCCACCCAACCTCCAATCCAATGGGTATCGGGGGTAAAGTGACCGGGGCGTGAAGCTGACCACTCATATTCAAATAGTACCTAGGTCAAGAAAATGAGGATCCATGCATCCACTCCCCCACACGCCTTCATGGCGTAGTGCTTAATTAGTTAAGCACAGGGACAAATTTACCCACCAGATATTCATTCACCCATCCATCCAACGAACTGACCAATCGGCTAACCGACCAATCATGCGGCCATTAGTTCATCCATCCGTTTCCACCTTCCTGCCTACCCAGCTTTATGAAGATGAGGAAGTCGTAAGTTTTTTATTATCTCCCAGAAGAAACAGAGACACAGGTGCAAAAAATTGTATGTGAGCTAGTCCTTCTCTACATAAGCCACCTGCAAGGCCACACATTTTCCCCAACGATGCATTAGCTGCTGGATACCTTCATCATAGAAGGTCTCATTTTGACTGTTTAGGAAGGCCTCCACTGCGGAAATGACGTCGTCATCATCT